ACCATCAATTAACATAAAAATTCCATAAAAACGCCAGACGCAGTTTATTAAAAGCGGATGTGTTTTCTACAAATCATTATCTATGTAAACACATCCGCTATATTTAGAGGTCATATAGGAATTAAAAGGCCACAACAAATTGTAATAAATCGTAAGATTTTGATGAATAATTTTATAAATTTTCACAGAGTTAGAATTTGTAAACACTGTAAACTGCAATGGTACCTCTGTCGATCTATTCTAACTACCAAACAGCTTGCTTTGAAAGTTATTTTTCGGTTGATAGGTTGGTTCGCTATAAAGCTGTGAAATTACGGAATAATAGGACTGACATCTAGTCCACCGGTATGGCGATGCGTGTGTGCTTTCATTGGCGTCATGTCGGTTTATGTATTTAGGCGACGGTTACATCAAACAGGTGGCTTTTCGACTCGCCTGCCATTTTAATTAAATAAAAAAAAAATATTTTACCCAGTCGCTAAAATTTGTACAAACAGTACACTTGCCATATCCATGTGTGTTTAATTTTTAACTCTGTTACACAATAAACGCTTTGTTTGTAAGAATGTTCAACTGTACAAGTGGCAGAGGTTAACACCGAATGAGAAGCTAATACTAATGAGGTGGGTTTGTAATGCATATGAAAAGGTACAGAGTTATTGTTAACAATGCGTGGATAGTTTGGCCCTGCGAGTCTTTGTGGCATTAAAAAGAAATAAAATCACAAAAGAATACTGTATACCATTTCAACATTCCGACTCGAATGTCTATAGGAATGTTTTATCTGTTCGTGACATAGTTAGCTATATAGTAGTTTTTTATATTGTACAACAATTATACAGCTCGCCTGAAGGTAATCAATGTCGTAATAGTTTTGGTTTATGCATAGATTTCACAGAATTACAATATAGATTTTCCTTTTATTTAATTATCATATTATTTTAAATAATGTCAGTTAAACAAAATTGAACTAAAAATATATACAACTATAGCGTTTCAGAACTATTATATACATAGTTATTAAATATGTTTTTTTTTTCCCCTTTTATTTGTTTCACCGTTTTTTTTTTAATGTACATATTTTGATTTATTTTAAATCTTAGGCTCCCGCTGCGATTTGATACAGGGGAAGTCTTTAATAGAAGTTTTCACTGTAGGGATATATATTATATTATACATATTTTCATAATTACACATATATTATACATAAAATATTATATTAAAATATATAATAGATTTAATACTTAAATATAAAATTTAATCATAAAAAGTTTTCGCTTGTATGTAGTGTACACTTATGTATTGTTAATCTGTTTTAACTTATAAATAATACTTTTAGCCAGGACATCATAAGAAGCAAAAGTTTCCGGCTTCTTAATGAGGCTCGTCAAATTATAAGGGGAGTCAATCTCATACAGGCGACACGTTTGCTCGTGCTCATGCCGGGCTCTTCCAAATATGGCGCAGCTACTGAACAAATGTTCTACTGTTTGCTCGCTATCTCCATCACACGGACAATATGTTATAGTATATTTATATAAATAATAAATTAGTTTTATCGTAAAACATACAAAACATACCGCCATGACTATTATCCCGGATGGGGGTAGCCAGAAAGAATGTCTGTTAACGTCATGATGAACGGAAAACATGCATTTTATAGTATTTTTAATATATCTGTATATGGTATTTCTAATAAATATATATATATATATCGTTAGTAATGTAGGCATGCTTTTTACGCATTACGCAACGTGTTAAAGTAACGATTATCGCATATCGTTATAGTTATTGACTGATAGTTATAGATGCATTGTACGTAATTAAATGTTATATAATTTTAGTGTTTTTATAGTTACGGTAGTATTAAAAAGTGATATAAAAATATATATGCGTAAGTAAGTTATAATTTATATCAAATTTACTGTGGTACTTATTCGAACTAAGTATAATGTGAAATAAAAAAAATTATTTTGTTTTCGATTCCAATTAAAAAATATATCCGCTTCCAATAAGCTACAAAGCCATTTGTATGAGCTAAAATTGTGGAATAAATAGTACTATAAATAAATAAGGCAGTCAAACCAGAGCACGGCATGTATTTAAATTTTAATTTACTGTCGTTAATTCTCCAAAATTAAATGTAATTGTAGTACTCAATCAAATAAGTATTAATAATTTGTTATTGTTATATTAAGTCTCAGTCCATGTAAGAGCTAGAAGAAATTAAATATCTGCTCTATGTGGTTAATCAAATCGAAAAAAACTCGTTAATTATGTAATTTTTGTGAGAATATAGTTACTTAACTCATTTTTATAATATTACGTACGAAATATCTTTCTAGTTTTGTGAAATAATAATACATTATATTTGTTTATTCGCACATTAAAAGATAAAATGTGGACCAAAATAATTCTCCATTCTCTATATAGATATCTCACACAATGGTAAACTGTATTAACTCAAAATTTGCTTGTTTTCGGAAATCAACTTTAATACGTTTGTATTTAAAGTAGATTCTTCAAAATTTGTAATTGTACTGTTAATGGAGTTTAGTTTTATGCGTGCCAAATATATATTGATGACAGATAAGCTGATACCACTATTTCTATGATACCCTTCACGTGACGTGACATCTTCTATGACTGACGTCTATGACTAATAGTCAGACGAAAATCGTTGGAATATATTTCGAAAATACAATGATGCTGACTGATCGTTGTCTAGTCTCGTGTGCAGTTATTAGAAGCGTTTTACACCAACCTCATTGCTTAAATCAATGAGTGTTCACTCACCTACGGGTGTTACAAACGATCTCGTAACACTAGACAGTTCATTATAGTACATATTAGAATTCAATAATAGAGACGCAGTTCAATGGCGTCTGTACGTTGAACGTGCCTCGAGGCAGTCCATCTGCTGTAAGAGACTTGTTTGGTGTATGCCAAATGATTTAAGCGATGATACAAATTATCTCTGCTTCGTAAGTAGTAGTTATTAAATTATATTTTTGATTGCTAAATGTTTAAATATTTTTAATGGTTGATAATGGAATGGTGCTCCCGTCTATGGTAACAGTATACGCTGGTGGTGCACCATTGTAGGATGATAAAATGAAAATAAATTCACGTGAAGCTGCCCCTCGTGACAGATTAACCACAATGATTTCCAGGTGGACCACGTAGGGTTTGACCTGATATTACATATATTGCTAGCAATGAGGTCTAGTTCCTCATACTTACAATGCCTCTCCCTCCCACCGTTAAGTATTGGGTGTCTATTCACCATCGTTCTGTAAGAGGTCTCTATTCGCCACCGTTGTTGTGTCTTATTAGACGAAAAAGTTGGATGTCGTTTGTTTCATATCCTGTTTGATCAAATAAAAATTATATTACAACTTATATTGACAAATGTTAAAACAGTTTTGATATGTACGTTTTTTACAGAGTATGAACCTAAATTATTAAGATTATTTCATACAAATCAATTCCTTGTTTCGAAATAAGAATTTCTATGCGTTTAATACTCGCTGGCCGTTTATTACTTGTACTTAACCAGAGTATTTGTACAGATATTAAAGTGATTTTACTTGCGTAACTACATGGTACACGGTGCCCGGACCATGTTTTTTGTGCGTCTGCTTCACTTTTATAGGAAAGTTATTTGTATTAGATACTTATAGAAACATATTAGTGCAATACTAGGTAGGTATATACCATGATAAAGCTCGTGCAATATATTAACTATTACAATATATTAAATATACTAATCAAAAGATTTTCTAATATAATGTATTTGTTTAACCCTCCTTGCAAAAATCAGTGTTGTGTTTTATTTTATTTCTTTGACTATATATCTGTATATAGAAAAGTTAATTATAAACAGATAAATTTAATTGCAATTTTCATATAAAGGCTATTTTAATTGAAACATTATAATTGAATTCACTCTTGATAAAAATCTGTACTATAATAAAAAAAAACAATACTATATTGTTTTTTTATTTTATCTGTGCAGCCTTTATTAGATCTCGTTTAATTAAAATAGTTTATTATTTAAACAAGTATGCCAGATATATGTATCTGCATGTAATAGAACTCTGTCGCTACATTTACATATATGTCCAAATTTATATACATATTTTAGTAAACGCTAATAATAGTTTAATTATTGTTACATTTACGCATAGCGAAGTAGTAGGATCCTTGTTTGCATAAATGGCACAGGTTCGAATGTCGATTGGGATAATTTAGATAATCAATAAATGTATTATTTTTTTGTACATATTTCCAAGGTTACACTTATGGAACAACCATTTGACAGTGGTTATTCCTACTGTAGGAAATAGAATAACTATGACGTACAGGTGTAATAAGATGCTTTGTTCTTTGTGTCACTAGTGTCACTATTATTACTGTTTGTACTATCCTTTTGTTCTTTTGAAAATAAAACAAATATTTTGTACTAATGTAAAGGATTTTGTATTTTACCTCCAATGATATAGCTCAGAATGACAAATTTAAATTTAGTGTTCTATGTTCTTTTTTTAAAAGTTATATAATATAGCAAAATGAGGTATCATACATTTATAAGTAACACCTAACGTCATAGACAATTACTAATGAAATGTCACGGAATATTATAATATTTATAATCTTTTTTCGTGGTTTCTATTAATAATCTAAAGAATTAAGAATCCAATGTCCCCAAACAGGTTTAAACGTAGTCGTATCATCACATTTTGTCTATACGACAGCGGCCGACCCGTCGGATTGCCTTTTACTTTCGTTAATTTCACTTTCTTCAGGAGTAATCGCCTTGTACATAAGTGCTTTACTAAATTTAGTTCTCATACTGTCATAATAACGAATGATATAGGCGTTACTCGTATGTTTAACTGCTATTTAATAGTATGTTATACAAATTGCATTTAAATCTTTTATTTTTATGTTTCAAGTTTGCGAATATATCATTTAAAACGTGTTTTTCTTAATTACAGATTTGCTGTGCGTGACTACGTGGGGATTCGCTAATATTTCAGGTATGATGGAATGTATGTACAATTATAATGGACTTATGGGCTGATTTATATTGTAAAAGTGTCTACATAAGATACTTTTTTGTCTTTAAAACCGATCATTTGAGGCGTTCACAGACAAATCATGGCTTAATAAGGATATAGTAAAAGACGATGATTTTAATTTCTTATTACGTATATTACTTACACTAGTATGACTCGTGTGAAGACACTTATATATTTGCGATAGAAATTTATGTAATTCATCTTTGTGCACGTAAAGCGGAAATTAATACTAAGAACAATATTATAGTTTTTTGATAGGATTACACGAGGTAAAATGTATGTTATATCCCCGGTACTTTAACGTTACTATAACTTTCGATATCCACCTATAATCAGGCGGGCCATATGCTTGATTTTCATTGTTTTAATAAAAATAAAATTATGTGAAAGTTTGCTGTTAAATGTTAATTTCACATCCAATAAAGTGATAAAACTAACTTTGTTATTGATATAGCACCATCCACGACATCACAGTAGGTATATTATCATATAAAACTATTATGACACTTATTACGACTGTAAAATAACGCTAAACGTAACTATTATTCAAGGTAAACTATTACAAACACAGCCTACGTTTCTTTTTGCATATATATCAGTTATTAATGCGATCTCTATCGAAATGCGACTTGAAAATTTATGCGAAAAATGCTACTCGGCGCGCCTTATTCTAGTTGAGATACAGTTATGCAAAATATAATTACTATAGGTTAAAAGGCCAGCCAGTGCAATCGTCATGGAAAAGTTTGATAGGCAAATAATTAAATGTAATAATTTTAGGCGGAAAGGAAATTTTCTATTTCACAATTCTATATAACACAATTGTATGTCGCGACTCTATCCGCATGGAGTAAAGGCCATATTACTAGTGGATAATATAGTTCAGTTAGGTTTTTTTATATTTTAAGTATTTTCTGAGTTTATTTATTACAAATAATTTATATAAATAATCTTTTTTTTCCAATAGTAGATTGGACACATATTTTGGATTTCTTCAAATATAATTAAAAAGTATATTCGGACAAATATAACATTAAGCGGTTATTACTAGCGGTTAGAACTACGTCTATCTGTACATCAAATTTAATCCTAATCTGTTCAATCATTTTTAAGCACAATGGAGTTACAGACATCTAAATTATTTAATCAATTTTGACATTGTTCATTTACAGACTTATAGTCTGATCGAGGAACAATAAAAAGTTCTAATTCATTCATTTATTCGACGGGAGAAATGGTCCGATCGGGATAAAAAGAAAAAAAGTAGGTATATTTCACAATCCGCCACAAATTTTATGCGTGTACAAAATTACTGGTACAAGAAAACAATACAATATGTCACTGCTGTTGATTATGTTTTCTACAGGTACTGAATAGTTGGTTAAGGATAGTTTAAAATTATAATACATGTGCTGGCAGGTCAGTAAACGGAAAGAAATAGCACATAAAATTTTGTCGAATCACAACAAACTATTTGGTATAATCGCTATTTTCCGCGTGTTCACACCTTATTCTGTAATTTTTCAATGAATCGTGTGAATAGTACATCTCTATAATTACGTAATACTAAATTAACACATATGGAAGTTAAAATAATCAGTGTTGTTGGAAACAAAATAATTCTAACATACATTGGTTTACAGTAAACAACTTCCTAGTTCCGTTCCTACAACGGATGCACGCTAAAAGGCGTTGCGAAAGATTTGATGATTTTGATCGTAGATTTTTATTTTGTAACAATTCCAGAAGATTTGGTTATAACATTAATAATATCAGGTGTTGTTAACTGGTATTATATTGTGTATTTTACGGCAGATTACAAATACGAAACCCACTTAGAACATTTTATACGAATAAAATTGGCTGCGTGGATCGTCTTTGTTTATGCCTATTTGATTGATGTTCCAGTTACATCAAATTAAAAAAAAACGCACAAAATAAAGTAATCCCCTTAATTATTAATATATATAATTATGGCTGGTCCTCCGTCATACTCGTGAACGGGTGCTGCTTGTGGGGACTGGTCTGTTTGGTTTGCAAACACTGATTAGTCTATTTGCTTTTGCAATAGCATACCCTGGTGGTCACTCTATTCTCCCAATTTTTTATTTAAAAATTGTATGATTGTGGGGAAACACAAATTCACTTATGACAGCATTATGCTTTGCTGTTTATGTAAAGTACAATAAAAATGAAATTCTAAAAAAAAACTAATTTTATATTCAAAGTCTAACTGGAATAATTCACACTGATTTGAAGTCTCTCTCGAGATTGACGATACCCTAAAATTTCAGACCGATGTTTTATTCATGATGCCATTGCAAAAACTTAGTTTCGATTTTTATGAATGTATAATGTAAAAAATATATACATAAATAATTAAATAATCGTGACGCACACCTAGTCAGATTTATATTATCTGTGCATCAAATAGCACAATAATAATAATGCAAATATATTGATAGGTAGGTTTTTTTATAAAGAACAAGTAAAATATTAATTAATAATACGTCTTCAAACATGTTATTTGTAGACGCAGTTCTTTTCTACATAGCTAACTCGTTTTTATCCATACCCCGTCCTGTTCACTTCTAATCGATTCACTGTCTTATTCAACTGGGACTTCAAATTACGACGGATTGAATCGAGGTTTGTAGTCATACCAGTACCCACAGACTAATGTCGTATTCAGGATCACAAGAGTTGACCTTCAGCCGCTCAATACGTCCTTCCGCGGCTTTGGAGTGCCCTTTGCAATCGCTACGATTTTTTCTGTAAAAGCCAGCAATAGTCCACAGATATAGAAAAAATCTGCAACAAAGGCGTGCCTTTAACGATTGGCGGCTCTAAATTGAACAGAACTATAGGTGCAACCTCAAGTTTATAAGAAAGTTCGTCCGGTAGTTTATAACGTACGGTAACGTATAGATCGTATCAGTGACGGATTACCAGAGATAATGGCGTAAAAAATAACAGACAGCACAATAAAAACGTTTACTCACTTTTCAAATTATGCAAGGGGTTATTGGTTGCAAAACCTCATCAATCTTGCTATAAATACATATCACGATCGATTAACTCGATTTGAGTTTAGTTGTTTTCTTACTAACTATTACCCTTTGTTTAGTTAAATAAAAGATAGTCTATGTCGGTTTTTATGCTGAAATCTATCTTCACGTCAATTTTCATTAAGATTCGTTCAGTTGTTTAGACGTGGAGAGTTCATCAACAGACAGATAAATTAGCATTTATAATAATATATAGTACAGATTTTTTAGGACCGTATAAAAATTGTGCATATTCTCGATAGTAAAAACAAAGGAAGAAAGAGCTATATTTGTTTTCAATAAGTATATAGTTAAGTACTTTGTCATATTTAATTAATATTTAATAAAGTTTAATTTTGTTTAAAAATATGTCACTTATTTGTTCAAAATATCGAACATTATATAGTTGTTGAAGTACTTCTTTTTTTTTAATATTAGATTCTTAGTCATTATTGTGTAGATTTTACTCATGTTTTTTATCTATTTATTACCAATTTTCTAAGTATAAAAAGTAAAAACTCGTTGTAATTAAAACTTGAAATATACATGTTTTTAGTTAATATTTGATGTAAATTGATAGTATGGTAATATGATATCAATCAAATATCGAAGTCTAGTGGCGTGACTGGTACACTTTCTTCTACGCATAATAATGTGGCACAATAATTAGATACTGTTTTACATGTATTTTGCAAGATTTATCAATCGTGAAAAAGACATAAAGTAACCGAGCATAATTATCAAAGTTAGATAGTTTATAATCTACCATTTATACTACAGAGTTATCCATTAATATGATGTTGTCCACTATTATCTTTAAATTTTAGATCGAAGAGCAAATTTTTATATCAATAAAGATTTCTTTTCAGTTTTTTTTCTTATATAGATAGATACGTTAAATACTTCTTAGTTTATACAACAAGTACTGTACATATGTGTATAATTTTGTCTGTTCTGATTTATCTTAGTCATCTCTCTGTCTGTACATTGGAATATGAGACTGTGGAGAGAATCTAAATGTCATAAAACAAGATATACATGCTTCTTTATTTTTTAAGGTAGGTATTTTGTTCATTCAAGTTTTATTAAAGGCTTGGTTAAAATACGCTTATTAATCAAAGAGATAAGCAACTGTTGGACCAAAATTCTTAATCTGAGAAATATTGAATTTGATATTTATAGCCAAATTTAAAAATTGTTTGATATTTTTTGCGGTCGGTTTGTTAGACTTATACTTATGTTAAAAAAGGAATAAGTGACTTTCGTTTCTAATAGTAGTGGTTCCGTAGATAATATACGAGTATGTAAATGCACGGTGCATCATTTTAGAAGAAAATACGATCTGTTAGTCATTCTGTACATATTTTTTAATATGAATTTCTTTAACGGAACGTTTACAGTTTTCTGTCCTATATTTTGATTATTTTCTTTCATACAAACTTTGTCTTGACAATTAAAAATCTATATAGATATCCCTAGAAACTCCGACTTTATTTGTGATGACATTTTCGTATGTACCTAATTAAATTGTGTTTACATCTATATGATAGTTAATATTCTAGAAATTACTTTGCGTTTTGTGTCGTGTTTATAAGTCCTGTTAAAAAATAAATATAACAAGGCAGAGATAGTCTAACAGTATCTACACCGTTACCTACATATTTCTAAATGAGATATCACCAATATGTATTGAGGAAATACTATACCTACCCACAACAAAAGGTCTGGTCAACGACCCGCCGATTGTGTATTCATATTTTGAGAGAATCGATTTCTCATGTTCAAAATTAAACAAAAGATCGAAACCACTAAAAGTTATCCAAACAAGTTTTCATTTAAATAAATAATCAATGTTGAATTTCATTTAAATAAATAATAATAAATGATATTCCGGATTTTATATATAAAGTA